TTTTTTGTTTTTCAGAAAGCAAGAAGTGATAAAGATTGATCATTGTGGCTATGGTTTGATTTTGCCACTAGGTGGGGATGTCAGACCAGCCTTAAACACGTGCTCCCAAAGCTAAGCCAAGTGACAAGACACCAGAAATACTGAAACTTGTTGCTTGCATTACTCTTAGTTGAGATTGTTTTGGACCTACTTTCACTTTTTTCCTAAAATGACAACAATGTATTACACAAGAAAACCAGGTTACATTCACAGCTCTTAAAGAGAGGGTATTATGTTATGCTAGGAGTAGTGCAGGTGTAATTTGTGTTATTGTATAGTAATAGTGCGATTCTGTCAAGTTTAAATCACAATATTGACTTTCAGATACAGAGAAACGTGCCCAGTATATAGAGGAGGAGCGACACATGAGGGAGGAGAACATCCGGCTGCAGAGAAAGCTTCAGAGAGAAATGGAGCGCAGGGAGGCCCTGTGTAGACAACTGTCGGAGAGTGAATCCAGTCTGGAGATGGATGATGAGAGGTAGGTGCAACAAACATAGAAAGATGATCAAAAAGTTCACAATAATACACAAAGTCATACATACCAGCAAATAAAGAGAAAATGGAAAAGAGTTAAATGGATTGAACTATACACTGGAGCTCGATGTTTCTTAGAGGCATTTGGCTTCACTGGGCATTTATACTGCTGACATAGCCAGCTGGATAAAGGGACCTGTGAGAATCAAAAGATGAGGGCACAAAAGTAGGGCAAATGCAAATGACAAAAGGCGTGTTTGCCACAACGGCACACAACAATTGGTCTTCCAGTAGGCAGTCATTGTTGCTGTTAAAAAGGCCTGCTTGTGATAAAGCAAGGTGACAACATGGTGTCTGGTAACTTTTTGGCTGGCTGTCAGACACAAAAAACACCGAGCTTAAATCAGTTCCGCATTCCTTGGTGTTTCATCTTAATTGTAAAAACAGCTTCTTTTTTTTCCTAATGAATGTTTAACATTGACCTGCAGATTCAGGTCATGCTATCGCTGCCACGTTTACTTCTGATACATGTAGAAAAGTCTAAATAATTAGCAGTAGCTTTGTTTGGTTTGGAAAGACCTGCGCTTTCTTGATGAAACTTAAAAGAAACCAAATTTTGGCTTAAATGGTCCTTACAGACTTCCTTCTGTTTGTGAGTGAATGGTCCATTTGAACTTTGTGCAATCCTTTCTACTCCTGGGACCAATTAACCCTCAGACACAAGTTGTACCACATGGTCCTTCTTTTTATTCAGAAGTGAAAACAAGACCAAGTAGTTTGGGGTGGCTTCAAGGTTTATGTTTACTAAAACAAAACAAACACTGTTGCACTTCACTGAGTATGGGGTCATCCACCAGATTTTTGTTTTTTAAACATACCAACTCTTCCTACTATTGCTGATCAAATTGGCTCATTGTGTATGATTAAACATAACCAAATACAGATTCCACTGGTTTAATGCTTTCAGTTAAATCAGTTTAGTAGCATGTTGAAAGACAAAGTTGTTTACAACATTAAATCAACTTTCTGCATTTTGTCTCCTTCCGCAGTGGCAAGATGGTGTAAAACAAACCCCCACCATTTTCCCAGAACTAGAAATTGTAATGCTTAAGAAAAACAAATGTATGTAAAACACTATCCAGTTCAAGTTTCTTTATTGTTGTGTACCTGGTTCAGGCCTCTGTATCAGATGCATGGGTGTCACTCATCTTTCAAGTCGGAGTGCAAGGATCACACAGCTAACTTTAAAGTTAGTTACACTTTAATGTTATTAAAGTGTAACTAAAAACAAAACAAAAAAAAGAGAGAAAATAATTATAACTTAAAAAATATTTATAGAGCAAATATCCTTGCATATGCCCTACACGAGGTAATACTTTAAAA